GCCCTTTCTTCTTTTTGGATGTGTGCATTTATTGCTATAAACTGACCTCTGAGCACTGCTTTTGCTGTGTCCCAAAGGTTCTGGTAGGATGTGTTTTTGTTCTCATTTGATTCACTATCACAGTGTTTTCTGAAGAAATATATGATGAATGAATATTTTACCTATCAGACTGTACAGATTTTACAAGGTTGAGAATCTCTAAGATTATTGGGGCCCATGCATCCAGAAACTCTCATTCTCTGTTGGTGACAATGTGAATTAGTACAACCATTATGGAGGGCAATTTGACAGTATAATTTTTTTTTCCAAATGTGGATATATCCTATGTCTCAGTAATTCTACTTCCAGAAATTTATCCTACCCGTAAGGTTCATGTAAGTAGGCAAAGATAGTATACACTTATTTGTGCATTTTGTTTTGTGACAGCAAACTTGAAACAACCTAGATGCCCACTAATAAAATAATGGCTAAAAAAATGATACCATCTCCGTTCAATAGAATTGTTTGTGGAAATTAAGTAGAGTAGGATATGTCTATGTGAATTGTCATAAGAGATGCCCACTACATATTGCTAAATATAAATTTATGTCTACATCTATTGAAAATATCTGAAGCTTAGCAGTGATTACCTTTAAGTTAGTGTATGTTTATTTTGTACTGTATGTTTTAAAAAAGACATGTATTATTTTTCAATTTAATGATATTTTTAAAAATATGTAATGAATAGTAAGTCACAATTCTTCTGTTTTGCAGCTACCAAGGGAGTGATCTCATCTTACACAAATATCCCCTGGTCATAAGCCCTGTGAGAACATACAAGATGAGCAGGCATAATTAGTTAAGGTGATAAAATGATGTTAAATTTTATTTACTGCCATATGAATCACAAAAGAATGAGAATACATGTGTTTAAAATGCGAGATTACTTTCTAACATCTAACTAAAAAAGAACTATTACAATTCTCCATATGTTTAGTCTCAAATAGCTCAAATCAAGATATAAAGTGGCCCACAGGGTTTCTGCCTCTCTGTACAAAGCAACCCTGAGTGGATGGGGAGAGATTAAATCAGTAAAAATTGTCTTCAGGTAGAAAATTGTTAGATACTTTTTGCAAAATGAATGTCTCACACTCTGACTGGCCTAATAGGGTATTATTTCCTCCTGGTAATTTACTGATTTCCATTTGGTCTGCTCTTGCTGTTCAGAAATCGAGCCTTTTTGTGCATGCATTCACACTTTGCTTCTAGGAATTAGTAATAATTTGAGTTAAGAGAAAATGAGTAACTAAGCTTCCTAGCAGCTTTCGTTACCTCTGCAAAGAGAAGATAATGAATATGATCTTGGCATACCCCACTGGTTTTGTAACAGAAAAATAGTGAGGCTTATTCTCCATAATTACACCCTACGAGTATCTTATCTAGTGTCGCTATCAAATATTTTCACATATGACTTCATTTCATCACTTTTAAAAAATTGCGTTTGCTGACTTGTGTTTTCTGGATCTTATTCCTCTTTTTCTTTCATGTCAACACTGATAACTTGTTAGCTGTACAAGAGTGAGCATGGTTACCTTCACGAAGATTGAACAAATGACGTAAAGGAAACAATTACACAAGGGTCAGAACCCCTCAAAGTCATGCTTATTTCCTTCTACATTCTTTTACATGGATGTGGTATTGAACTGGGCTACAGAAAATAAGACACCAGACCTAAATTTGAGTCCCATATGCTGAAAGTTAGGTAAAATTCCATTACATTTCAATAGTTCTAAGCAAGCAATTTGTTACCCTTTATCCTTTAGTGGAACTGATGAACAGGTGGTTTTCAGAAGATCACTCAGTATATTTAGCTTCTGAAATTTGAGCAACTCACGACCTGATTGGCTGTTCTTGCCACATGATAATTCAGAGCCCAGGCTCCTCGCTGGCTCTTGCCTGGGGTTCTCAGGAGGGGAGAGTTGAGAGAGGCTTTGCTGCTGAGGAAATTTATTTGATAGTTTAAAGGTAAGGCCATCTTATGGCTTTTTTTGTACTCTTCTTTTAGGAGAGGTTACACAACTTCCCTTGAAGTATTTTTCAAAGTTTTGGGTGGTAAGTGGGGAAATTATTGATGGAAACATGACTAGAAAAGGCTGTGACTCCATTGCCCTACCAAGACCCTACTAGTATCAGATATGTGGAGTCTGTTATTAGAGACTAGTTCTATACTAACCAATTTATTGCTTGACTGAGCTGGCTCTCTTGTTTAACCAAATTTTGTTTTCATTTTTTTTGCCTTTAATTTTTTTCTAAATATATTAGCTTGAAAAGGCTCTCTGTTCTATGTTCCTATATTTATCCTGTTCTACTGGGCTTCATTTGCCTCAGAAGGAGCAGCAGTTTCGCTAGCTTAACAAAACCAGTCACGGTGGGTATTGGTTTACATGGCAAATATCTTTGGGTGAAGGGACAGCTGCTCCAACTCATCATCCACTTGTATGAAGAGAAAATCCTGCTCTCTGGTGTCAAACTAAGAAGGTCTTCAGAGAGCCTTTCGTTAGTTACTGAATTAGAGGTTTAGGCCAAAGACACACAATCTTATATGTACTTCAACCGATGCATTCCAAATTTTGATATTTTTCAGGTTTGCACAAGAGCTACAGAAACAGAAGAGAAAAGGCCGTGCAAGCCAATGGTGTTCGGAAAGAAAACAGCCCCATTGCCTTGAGGTTCTTATTTTCCTTTTAAAATCTGCTGACAGATTTATTTTTATGTGTTCTAATTTGAAGCATCATATCTAGTGCATAGAATATATTAGAGCAGTTTAGAGGCTTAAATCAGCCCTTCTTGAGTTTTGGTGCTATAGGCAAAAATTCCAGTTTTACCTGAATACCAAGCTGACCTTTCTTTCACTTAAGTTTTGGTTTGAAAAAGTTTTCTCCAAGTATTTGGAAATTTAAACACTCTATTCCTTTGACTCTAAACACTCTCCCCTCGCTTACCTCAACTTCCTTTTTAAACTTTAACTAAACTGATCATGTAGCTTGAAGTAGAATACCCAACATGTTTTTGAGGGAATCAGGAGAAAGAAATTTGAAGCTTCAATTTTTTAGAGCTCTATCTTAAATGTCTTCTCTCACTTAGCCTGCGAGAATACTATTTAGAACAGGTTACTTTTAAGTTCTATTTTTATAATGTTTATAACACTCTCAGTCCCAGAAATAGATTCTAATGTATTTTCATTTGTGTGGAATATGAAAAGTTTGTAGGTGCCACTACTACTCTGGGAAAATGGCAGATGATGAAGATTATGAGGAGGTGGTGGAGGTAAGATAAAAAAACAAAAAACAAAAATACAAAAATTGTGACAGCAAAGTATTTTATGTAGCAACATTCAAAGCCATGTAGGTGAATTAGTCATTCGAAAAAGACAATGTCTATTATAAATTCACATGAAAGCATAAGAAAGGAATATTTTACATTTAGTTTTACTATAATTATGTAGGATTTAGAATTGAAAGGAAGTATCACTGTTTCCCACTTTTGCTTTTCTTCAAACTTTTAAAAAATAAAGTGTGGGGTAAAGGTAGGTTTTAATGTGTCTTCTAATACTACCTCGCTCCCCACTTTCTAACCCCATTGATCAAAGGGACAGAGGAGATGAAGAGAAAGTTCTGATAACTGAACTCTGTGTGTCTACATAGCAGTAGAGGAAAAAGAGCTACTTCTTAATTTTTGTTCCACCAGCTGATTATATATATATATATATTTAATATGTACACACTCACATATAACCCAGGAGTCTCACAAGCAACAGTTGGAAACCATGCTTAACCACCAACTCCATTACATTTACCCAAGGGAACAAGACTAGCGTTTGCTTTTGAATTTTAAACAAAGAACAAAGGGCATAGTGCGCATCTTGAAAAATTTCCTCCAGATTATTGGTGGATATCTGACACATTTGACAAAGTTATTAATTGTTTGTTTTATATTTACTTAATGTAATTTTGTTTTATAGTTCTATGGTTTTTCATTACCAGCTCTTGTCTTCAGCTTCATGCTTCTAGAAAAAAAGAAAAGATAAAGGCTTGCGACTATAATCCACATAAGTACATTGCCATAAATCTAAAAGAGATTCATAATTATCAATTTATGATGATGATATAAACATATGAAAATTTCCAAATGCCTGATTGCCTTGGAAGCAGTTTTTAAAATCCTTGGTTGACAATAAAATGGAAATTACCTATGAAAGCTTCCCAGAACCAAATTCCAGATAAGAGTGCCAAAATTTGTCTTTGGAAAATTATTTTAGGGACTAGCCTGTATTCAGATCAAGAAAATTTTAATTTATTCCACAAAATAATATCCCTTTTATTACTGAAGGATGACTAAAAAACAGAATGAATTTTATACAAAATAAAATTCAGTCACTCTGGCTTAAATGCCAATGGCCTTGTCTACAATATTCAATATTATCAATAGTATTAATTTTACTTCTATCCCTAAGAGTCAGAATAATCAGTACCAAACACTAAAACAATTATAAATTAAATTGTTTTCCCCATGAGGATAATACCAGGAATATTTTTTTAGCCTCCAATTTAAATATCCTTTATCTTTCTTTATGTAATTGAGTTCATCTGTCACAGAAAGTTGTATTAAGTCCTAGATTTGATTGATTTAACTAGATGTCATAAAAATGGAGGATGCTATTTTTAGGTATTCCGTCTTTGCTATTTTGTTCCTATTACTGCTCTGGGTCTGACCAGCAGATGCTAAACTAGTAGACTGCCTGCTTGAGAGTGTTGAACAGAGGTCTCTTTGAACTCAGAAAAGATGCTGTAAGAGTAAGATGGTGGTAGATTCTCGAAAATTGTCAGAGATGAATTTAACAGAGACAGAGGAACTAGATTTAAAACCACCTGAAATAAAATTGTGCTGTCACTCTCTACTCAACCTTAAACAAACTTGTAGAGAAAGGAAAAGAAGCAAGAATGTACTATCCAATTAGCGGCACAGCTCTAAAAAAAAAAAGTGAGATTTGGCATGCAAGTTAATGCCAACCATTTGGATAATGTTGTCTTTCTTATAAGCTTATTTCTAAGATATATTTACCAGTGGTGAGAGCCCAGCAAAAGTAAAATTGGAAGACTACCAAAGAACTGCTTTTACTTGGATGTTAAGAAAATCTAAAATGGTTGTGAATCATTCATGCTAGTTTAAGATTTCTTCTCAAGCCACTGATGTTTTGTGTGGCCAAAGAAATTGTTCCTTGTGACATTATCATCAAACAGTATTTCCTAGAAGTGTCCAAATGACATTTCTTCCCAGGTGCTAAAGGCACAAACTTGTAAAAGAGAAATTCTCTTTTGTATTAGAGCCTGTAATTTCTGTTGCGGCGTGAGAGGACATACAGACATAATTAGATTTCAAATTCAAAAGATAAATAACACAGGGAGTAAAGAGAACGTGAGGGTGAGGGATATTTGGCAAGCTTTGTACTCGTTTCACCAAGTCCTGTTAGAGCAGGTGTTTTGATGAGAACTAACTGAACGAAGGGCAGAGGAAAAGAGGCCACTGAGGGAAATGTTGCATGTCTGTGCTCTCCCACCCCCGGGTGTATAGCTTGGCGACAGAGATAAGGGAAATGACACAAAAAATGCTATATATTTGTTGATTGAGAAAATGAGCGAAGTGTTTCATTTTTGTCCTTTTCCTTGTGTGCTTTAGCCTAAACAAGCCTTTCCTTCTGTTCACTCAGAAGGGCTGGGTGAGGCTAGGGACAGGATTCCACTCTCCTTACGCATCTGAAACAAAATGTCAGCCAGTTCCTATCAGCGTCTATTTATTGCTGGTGATGTCAGGAGTAGAACAACAGTAGGCTCGGTTTCAGATCAAGCTGTAGTCACCTCAAAGCTATCGATGGCAAACTGCAGCCTAACTATCCCAGATTTTGAGAAGAGGGATCATCTCATATTTTCCCTCTCTTCTTGGCATTTGCAAATTTTCATCTAAGCATGCCACCTAGGACCATTGCACTTACTGGACAGGACTCATCCTTCACTCCAAAAGAAACTCTTATTGCTTTAGTAATCAGTAGGTATAGGAATAATTGAGATGTGTATATATTTTTTGGACCTCATTTCCATGATAATATCCATTTTAAAATTTATTTCACACTGAGATTTCTGTTTTGCTTTAATGTAAACAATGAGTTCCACTAAGTTCCTCTGTGTTCAATCCACATACAGTAAATTCTGTCTTGAGTATGTAAGAAGAAATTTTACTTGTCCCACATAAATAGCTTCCCCTGATTAATAACCAGCCTCAGACATCTTTCTCATCACTCTGCAAATCGTGGTCCAGTCTGGTAGCATTCACTTTGGCTTCCCTGAAGTGTCATAACAAAACTGGGTTCCAAAATATGAGCAGACTCTCTTGCCTAGTTTCTTCCCATAGATATTCCAAACCAACGGAGCTAGTGAGGTAACCCTAGCGATTAAGTTGAGGAGAGGAGATTTTTGGTTTGGTTCTCACGATAATCCCTTTGTGCTCTATTTATAGTACTACACACAAGAGACAGTCTATGAAGAGGTGCCAGGGGAGGTAAGGCCCAACTCCCCCCGCCCCACTTGCACTAACTGCATGTTCATTAGAGCAGCAAGAGCCCTCTCTTCTCTCCTACTCCTGAAGCCATAAGGCTGGTATAAGAGAGTATCTGAGGGGGGTTGGTGTCTCTGGATGGTGCAAATGGTTAACGCTCTGCTGCTAACTGAAAGCTTGGAGGTTTGAGTCCACCCAGAAGAACCGTGGAAGAAAGCCTTGGCGATCTACATCTGAAAATCAGCCATTGAGAACCCTATGGAGCACAGTTCTACTCTGACACACATGGGGTTGCCATGAGTCTGAAATGGCAACTGACTTTGGCTAGAGGGTGATCACTCACTTATGTGTGTCCAGCAGCTGGTGGTAAAAGAACAAACATTACCTACTTGACAGGTTATTTCAACTTTTTTGCTGTTCCACATTTCCAAAATGACCAGGGATGGTTTCCCTCATTGCTCATGTGGTATTTTTTGGTGGAGACGGTGCTACTTAGGGCAACGCCAGTGACTATTATCACTCTCTGACTGCAGCAAGAGGGATAGCTTTCACTTGTAATCTGTTAGGAACTGGCAGGTTCAATGTGTAGACTTGCAGTGTGTGTGACATCATCTATCCCAAAGCTTTGTCCCTCATGACAAACGACATGCTACTCAGATTTTAGCACATTAGGAATTCTGAGAAAACCAGTCACATAAATATTCCAAGTTGGAACTGTTTTTTTTTTTAAGGTGAAATATCTCTCTCATGATGCTTTACTTCATTTTCTGCATGGAGCTGTTCCTCTTTGAGCCCAGTGAACAGTGATATGGATGGTTAACCTTGAAGTGTGCTCAGAGAGCCTGGGACTACATGAAAACTAACATCTGTAGATCATGTAAATTGGTTACTTTCTCATGGTCAACCATACATTAATAATAATAGGCAGAAAGCAACCTACTCACTAACATCTGGCAACACTACAGAGAGTTTTCACAGATGTACAATTTCCTTATTTTCTCTTTTATAATTGATAATAGAACTCTTCTTTTGATGCAGATGATATTAGCTTCGTAGAAAATTTAAAAGACAGATTTAAGACTTGGCTGCTTATCTTCCTTTCTAATCTACAGTATTTTTAACCTTGGACTAGACCCAAATTTTGAGTCTTAAGTTTCTTCTACTATCGCCTGTTGTAAGAAACAGTAATTTCCCACCTACTACATAGAACTGTTGTGAGGATAATTGCCCCGTTATGTTTTCATCATTATGCTTGTCCACCTAAGCATTTATTAGTGTAGATGGCACTCCAATTCATATTAATTAAGTGACTAAGCCAAGAGAATGGTAATCACATGTAACATTGGTGTGATTCATTTTTTTTAAAGTTCATTATTATTTTCTTGTACTACAGGGGAGAATGCCTATATGGCTAGAGAACAAGCAACCTGACTTTTTCTTAGATTCATTAAAAGTTAAAATTTAAGTCAAGAATTTGAGCTTTATTTGATTGTCTTAATCATTTGTTCTCCGATTGTAAGTTTGCTTTTACTTTACTTTTACAATTTAAGATTTTTAAATATTTAAGAATATGTTATTTTTTATTTTTATCCTACCTTGATGTGTTTGAGTATCTTTTTGCAAATTGGATTTTAAGCTGATGCTGAAAATTAATAAGAGGTAACCTTTTTACTCTACACAATCTCTAATAGTGAGTGCTCGGACTGATGTAACATAGTGTGTTTTCATATGGAGATGGTATGTGGTTTCTTGCTTTGGCCTGTTTTGGGTATGAAGAAGTAATACCAGGAGTCTAAATCTGCCTGAAATCAGAATAATATATGCCAAGACCATGGTACCAGTTTTTACTTTTATAACAATGTTGAACTGCATGTAAAATTTCCAGACAATAACAGAAGTCTATGAAACCACAACAACAAGGACAACAGGATCTGACTATGAGCAACCCAAAACTTCCAAACCAGCGCTGGCACAGCCAGTACCGGCAAAGCCGGTGGGGAGGAAGAGGGTTATCCGGAAGAAAGTGGACCCTTCAAAGTTCATGACTCCCTACATTGCACACAGTCAGAAAATGCAGGATCTCTTTAGCACGGTAAGTTTCAGGCAACTTCCTGCTAGCCTGGTTTTATTGCTGAGAAAATAATGAGCTCAACCAACCTCTTTGGATGCTGGCTGGATTTTGGTTCTCAAAAGACAAAAATGTATTTTACAAAAATGTAGTCTGTCTCCTTGTGATTCTTGAATCTTCTTTTCACGTAATTCATGCGCATAATTGCAGCATCAGGGAAGGCATCCGTATTGAAATTATACCTGCAAAATAAGCATAAGACCCATTATAAAGTGATTTTAATCATTGTTAGTTAGCCAATCTAGAGTAATGAAACCATAAATATATATTTAATTACGTTTGGTTGATGGAAACTAAATAACTTACTTAAACTATGTCTGAGCAGAATAGCCTCTTAAGTAGATTAGCTAATAGTATGTAAAAATGTCTTCAAGATGTATATCATATAGTATATTTTTTTAATACTTTAAGAGATGTATACCCAAAACCAAACCCATTGCCGTCAAGTCAATTTTGACTCACAGCGACCCTATAGGACAGAGTAGAACTGCCCCATAGGGTTTCCAAGGAGCACCTGCTGGATTCCAACTGGGGACCTTTTGGTTAGCAGCGGTATAGCTCTTAACCACTACACCACCAGGATTTCCTAAGAGATGTATATAGTATAGTAGAAATCCAGTGTCAGACTAAAAATTTATTTGAAGTTGAGGACCTGAATGTTTGACCATGCCTGATAACAGTGAATTTCAACCACGTCTGCACATTGGAATCCCCTGGGGAGCTTTAGAACTGCTGATGCACAGGCCAGGTTCAGGTTTAATTGGTCTGGGGCCCATGTATCAAGATTTTTGAAAGCTCCCCAGAGGATTCTAACATGCAGCCCAAGTCGAAAATCACAGCTCTTACTGTCTCTGGTCCTTAAATTCCCATGTACAATTCTGTAAATTACACTGACTGACAGAAGATTTTGGCCCCATTTCAATGGGTTTACTTTGTTGATAGGTGTGCCTGGGTGGTGCAAACTGTTAAGCCCTGGTCTACTAACTGAAATATTGGCAGTTAGAACCCACCCAGAGGCGCCTCAGAAGAAAGACCTGGCCATCTGCTTCCGGAAGTTCACAACCATGAAAACCCTATGCAGTGTAGTTCTACTCTGCAACATGTGGGGTCGCCATGAGTTGGAAATGACTTGATGGCAACTGGTATTTTGTTGATTGCCCATGGTGGGCTAAAGTCTCTCGGGATAGTCTGACCACATGTTGTCTGGAGGATTAAATAAATGCAAAGTAGCTCAGGGGAAGCATTGATTTATATAGAACTAATGCTTATACCAAAAACATCCTGTGGTGATTGGCCAATCAATATTCACATTTGGTTGAGTGTTAACTCTTGGGGACTATTTGATAAATTTCTAATTCAAGCTTTAAATGATTTTTGAATGATCTAAGACTTAGGTTTCTAATAACAAGTGAGATTTTCTTGCCTCCTTTATCTTAACAGTATTCAGCAAAGATGAAATTTTTTGTGTGTGTTGATTTACTGCCATAAAATCTCATTAATTCAGATACCAGCATCCTATAATTTCTGATATTCTGAACAGAATGTTGGCTAAGTTCTATAATATTTTTTAACGTGGTTAGTAGCTAAATCAATAGTATAATTTAGATTGTTGATGACTCCACTCAAGGGTATTCTTGAAGCGTTAATAATGATAAATTATACATATTATTATTAAAGCAAGAAGCCATGGTATATTTATTAGAAATAATAAAATTGCATGCCTGCTTTTCAAAATACTCTATAATTCAGACTTTCCATTAATTCAAGCTTGTGTCTCAGCTATCTAAACCACCAGCTTGTAGGGTCAGCTATAAATCCTGAACTGAATATTGTATTAGCAGTCAAATCCTTTCAGACTTGATTCAGTTTCTATATTCATTTTCTAAAATGAGACTTAGGCCTTTTTATGGGTCCATGTAGGCAGAAAAAGGAGAACCATTGAGGGAACAATTTTAGGGGATTTCCAAGACACAATAGTCTGTAATAAATTTCTACTGTCTCCAGGACCCAATCATGTTTAGGAAAAGCAATTAACGAATCTATTTTAGTTTTTGCTGAGAGTCAGGATTAGGGACAAAAAGAAAGTGGTTACACTGGTAATTGTTATAACTTGGAGGAATTTATTTATTTATTTTTTAGTTAAATGAGGATGAATATGTTACCTGAAATTTCTGCTGCTCTCATATCACATTTTAGGCTAATATTTTATATTCTTTTCAGAATAAATACAAGGAGAAATTTGAGAAAGCAAAAGGACAGCCATACGCCATCACAACTGATACCCCAGAACTTCGCAGAATCAAGAAAGTACAAGATCAACTCAGTGAGGTGGGCTGAATTGATAAAGGAGAGAGACGTTTCAAAGATATGTCTCTCACTGGAAGTTGAGGTCTCTAAATATATGTAGAGAGAATAAGGGTTCAGCTTACTGTGAGCCAGTCCAGAAAGCTAGAGAAGGCATTGGTCATATGCTATGTTGCTGTAAATATAGTAACTTCTAAAAGTGACTTCTAAAGTGACTTCTGAAAGCTTGGCATAGCAATTTAGCTTAAGAGGTGACTCTGGAAAGCTTGGCATAGCAATTTAGCTTAAGAGGTGACTCTGAGATGGAAGCTCCAACTCTCTTTGGTCCTTCAGCAGTAGGCTGAAATTAGGCCAGGAAACCAGACAAGCAGTAAATGCAGGCGCTTTTGTCAATCTTTGAAGATCACAGTTTTCTAGCTAAAAGGCAGAAACTTTGCTTTGTGAAGTGTCCATAGAGTCATTGGGTTAGTACTCATTACAAAATGTACACTCACATGTTAACGTCTGTCATGGACATATTCTGTTCATTATTTCTGCAGGTTAAGTATCGAATAGATGGTGATGTTGCTAAAACTATTTGTCACGTAGATGAAAAAGCAAAGGACATTGAACATGCCAAGAAAGTGTCGCAGCAAGTCAGCAAGGTAAGGCTGGATTAATTGTATAGGTGGGTGGGATACTATAGTAAATAGCATTCACATTACTTGTGCTTTAAATGAAGAGGAGAAGATTGGACAGGTCTCATCCTGTTCACCAGTCTCCACCAAATCCACAAGGATTGTGAATGCTCATGCCCACCCACATTAGCGAGGCCACACAGATGGCTGAAATACCCCATAGGAGCTCTGATGGACTGCAGAGCCTGTGCCCTGCCAAAGGGGCAGCTGCTGCCCAGCTCAGGCAAGTGCTGCTACACAGATTTCAGTCTCAGACTCAACACAGTCTCTCCCTCTCTCTCTTTTGACTTAAAACAACAGAAATTTATTGTCTCAAGTTCTGGAGAGTAGAGATTCAAATTCAGAGTGTTGGCAGGGCCATACTTTCTCTGAAAGCTCTAAGCAAAGAGCCTTTCTTGTATCTCTCAGCTTCTAGTAGCCCACCTTACTCCAATATGTAATTATATAAGCAAAGACCCTATTTCCAAAGAAGGTCACATTCACCGGTCAGGGGGTGGGGGATGGTGTTAGAACTTCAACTATCTTTTGAGGGGATACAATTCAACCCATAATGGAGGAGCACAGAAAACATTTATCACAAATGAATAAAATAGACATTTATATGTAAGTTTATAATATAGTTTATGTTAGTTGGTGATACGTACGATGGAACAAATAGAGCATAATAAGGGTGATCATATTTTTTAAAGAAGTTGGATTTTTGTGAGAAATTTCCAAATTCGACGACTAAATAAAAAAATTAAATCGGAATCAACTCGATGGCAATGGGTTTTTGTTGTGTTTGCCAGTCAAATTCAGCCAATGCCTTTGAAATGAGTCTATAGAGAATCAGAATCATGATTTAGTTTAAAAAAATGGAATTTTCAAATAAAAGATATTAATGCAGGAAAAGTATTATGGAATGTTAACATGGTCACGGTTTTCCTAGTGGCCTTTGTGTGAGGACAACCTGAGTCTGAAAAAAACTCTTCACAGCGCTCCCCTGTGTTCTCTAAATCCTCTTACACTTGGGTCAGACATTAAACAACGGGTCATCTGGTCTTCCTGTTTAGGTTTTATACAAGCAAAACTGGGAGGACACCAAGGATAAGTACCTGCTTCCTCCTGATGCCCCTGAACTTGTCCAAGCCATTAAGAACACAGCCATGTTCAGTAAGGTAAGGCCTCTACTGGCACGTCTATCTTCCCGACTACATCATCCCACTACATAATTTAGAGGAATAGCCAGTAAACTCTTGATAATCCAGAATATGGTTCCCCAATCTTTTTGTGAGTAAACTGGAGACATGTGAGGCTAGGCAAGGAGGGGACTGAGAGGAAAACTCTTGGGCAGAGTAGAGGAGAGGGTGCTGTAGGTAACCTGAGCAACCTGGGGGGAAAATGTGTGGGGAGAATGAAGATGTGCTGGAGAACCAGCCAAGATCCACAAAGTACTACTTTAATTTTTCTGTAGACTCTGTGCAATAGTTTAAATATCCCAGGCTGTCTTTTTTTTTTTTTTTTTATGAAATTAGTTTATTTTTGTTGTGGTAATTATATAGGTAACAAACTATTTGCCATTTCAACATTCTACACGTATACAGTTCTGTAGCATTACTTATGTTCATCATGTTCTTCAACCATCACCATTAACGTTTCTCAAATTTTTTCACCACCACCCTTGTATAAAACACTTAACAGAAGCTCAGTGTCCCCTACTTGGCTATCTATCTTATTAAAGGTTTGTTTTATGACAGAAACCAGGCTAAATGCTTCCCATCTTCTTACACTGATATATCAGCACTTTCTGTAGAAGGCAAGTGAAGTCATGGAGAGGAGATGAAAAAAAATCAGACACATCTGTCTCTCTGGAAATGACAATTGTCAGGAAAAACAGGCCAAACTATTAATAAAAATGTATTAGATTGGATGAAAAGATGGAGGTTATATGTCAATTTCATTCATCTTTGCTTTCACCTTGCCCTTGGTTAGTGATGCTATTGATTGATGAGGTCAAAATTATGTATTTCATGTAAGTGTGCTCTCACTTTCTCATAAGTTTTCACTCTTTTCTGACTTAGAAACTGTACACTGAAGACTGGGAAGCAGACAAAACTTTATTTTACCCATATAACGACAGCCCGGAGCTGAGGAGGGTTGCCCAAGCCCAGAAAGCTCTCAGTGATGTAAGTGAAGTGCAATCAGTACCTTTTGGGAATGTGAACTCAGGAAACCACGAATTAAGTCTTTGATGCTCATTTTTCAATTCTCCTTTAAAGAAAGGTTAAAGGTTAAATGTATTCTAGGAATACATCTAGAATCATCAGGATTTATGATGTATAATTCAAATTAGTATAATTTATATTAGATATAATTTAGTCCAACTCCCTCCTCTTACAGTTGAGGAACCCGAGTTAAAGACCATAAAGGTAGTTAGGGGCAGAGCCCAGACTAGAAGCCAGGTTTTGTGATCCCAATACCAGTGTTCTTCCCACTAGAGTGTGAATCCTTTTTTCCACTTGGATTAACTAGAAATTTTTCTGTGACAATTGAGTGGCATTTTTTTTTTAACCTACTGAGATCATAGCCGCCTTCCCTAATCTATTAAGTGAACAATGTTATTGAAGGTTTTGATTTGCTGTCCTAATAAGAAGGTCTGAATCGTGATGAGTCTTCCTTTTTTCTGCATTAGGGTTCTGTCTGATGTGTTATACTTGTCCGAGCATGTTTGTATAGTTACCCAACAAAGAGCTCCTGCGACTGAGTGTACATAGAGGATATTTCAGATTTAGCAAGAAATCAGCACTCCCACTTGCCAGAATTTTAGCATCTGCTATGAAAACTGTATATTAAAGGAACTCAAAAGGTCTAGTAGACTTAGGATGGAAACTCACAGCATCAGAGGGCACATTTGGATCTAACACTTCCTCTTGTTTTGAGGTGCTTTGTTTCCTAGTCCTGGATTTGCTAGAGGCCCTACTGAAAATCCAAAGTCTACAGCTTTATTCTGGAGCAGTAGTAGGAGAAAACAAGTTATTTTATATTCACTTGTTAGCTAGACCTCAGGAACTCTCATACTCGGGCCTTAACAAGCCGGTTGGCATCTTCAGACTTATTGAGGTTTACTTCTAATGGATCCTAGAGTCCTAGCTTGCCCTGAACTGAAATTATACATATTTATCTGATGATGTCTGTAACTTTTCAGGTCTAATTTGAATCCCACTCTCACTTGGTATGACGTGCAAATGTAGTGGGCATATTTTCTATCCCATTTTCTATGTAAATGGTTAAAATATTGCACAGATATACTCCTATCCTTCCATAGGGTAAGTTAGGAAATTAAGAAGGCAGTTAACAAAATGTTAAGGTCATTTAGTGTGTGCTACAATTTTTAGTGTGTAATGGGTACTTCCTGCTTCTCCCTCAAGATTGGTGTTTTGGTTCTATATTGTGAGATACATAATATTGTTGTGTGGCCTTATCAAGTGATCAGTAGCTATTGACAGGCTATTATGTATGTATACCTGGCAGACAGAGAAGTACTATACGAATTTTTGATTTTTTTCCTCTGAGGATTTACAATCAGGTTGGTAAGAAGAAAGTGTTATATATCAAATGACAAAAAAAAAAAAAAAAATGTTCAAAACTACAGTCAAATACTTGCTAAAAGGATGACAGGATAAATGTGAGTAATTGGAAAATGCCACGCAGATGTGGTGATCCCAAGGGCATGGGTAGTGATGAAGAGGAAAGGCATTTTAAGTAGAGGGAGCACTTGAACAAAGGGATAGAGATGAAATAAGCCTGGTGTTTTAGAGGACAAACAAAGTGAAAGCTGTTGTGCCTAGTTGGAGGGCACTTGTGAGAAAGCTGGCAGCAGGACCTTGAAAATCAGACAAAACAGATTTGACATGGTATGATAGCAAAACGGAGGCATCATAAGATTTTGAAGAGGAGAAAAACACGATAAAAGCAGAATCTGGAGATATTTTGACGGGCAGCATGGTGAATTGGAACTAGGAAAAGCTGGAAACCAGTGGAATTGTAGAATGTTATTTTAGTAGTACAGACTGGATTAGATGAATGATGGGCAAAGAAGAGGAAAGAAAGGAATCTGAAGATAATAAATAATAAAATAATTTCAAAAGTGCTAATGACATTGGATCTTGGAGAGAAAGGAGCCATAGAAGAGTTTATGATCATAGATTGGTAGTCTCGGTGAATAGGGGTACATCTGATAAAAATGCATCAGAGGCAAGAGACACAGAGTTGAGATAATGGAAGGACCATTCGAATCAAGGCATCCTATGGAAAAATTAGAAATGTAGTGCTATTGCATAGGTGTGAAGTCAGGACAAGAGATTAATATTTGAAAGTCATCAGAATAAAAGTGACAGCTGAAGACATGGAGATGCATGAGGGAGGCAGAAGAGAGTATGGTCAAGGGCAAAGTTTTGGAGGACACCCACACTAAGGACATCTGGAAAGGAGTCAGGAAAAGAATGAGGGAATAAACAGTCAGAGGCGTTTGAAGGGAAACCAGGAAATGCCATGTCATGGAAGCCTAGGAGAGGCTCCCTTCACCTGTAAAATGGAGCGATGAAGGGTTACCAATTCCACTCTAGTGCTATGGACTTGGAACAATTAAAGTTGGCCACATTTTTCTGAGATATTTCAATAGAGGACATAATGAAGGAGACTATATAATAATGAAGTAAAATCTTACCCACATTCCCCCAGAAAGATTTGGCAGTTAAGGCACGGCTTTTATTTTTATTGCAGACAAAGTATGCACTAAGTATCGGATTACTGACATGCCTATTAATACTGTTGTCAACATCATGAACTTCTGCAATTACTGGGCACAGAGCCCCAAGCAAGCTGTTCACAGAACATAGCACTGGGTATGCTCGTAGTTTTCAAGCTAAGAGCTGGGTTAGAGGTTCTCTCTCACTCTCCTGACCTTCTTCCTGTGCCCCTCTTAAACCTACTTATCACATTATCCTTATTCTTTAAGTAAAGACAAAATATTTTGTAAACACTGAGAGTCTTTGAGCTGATCCAGAGTGCAGAATTCTAAGTAGACAGAATTCTGAACAAGGTTCCTGAGAAATTAATCTTCTAGATCTCATTTCTCTGAAACTTCTTGACAGTTGTCAGACTTAGTAAGCATTTCTCCTGGTAGAATGTTGCTTTCTCCCTAAGGATGTAGCTAGCCATGGAAAATCCCAACCGCTCTATACTTACAGTCTTCACTTACTGTCATGGATTGAATTATGTCCCCCCAAAAATGTGTGTATCAATTTGGCTGGGCCATGATTCCTGGTATTGTATGATTTTCCTATATGTTGTAAATACTGTTTCTATGATGTTAATGAGGGAGGATGGGTGGCAGTTGTGTTAGTAAGGCAGGACTCAATCTACAAGGTTGGATTGTGTCCTGAGGCAATCTCTTGAGATATAAAAGAGAGAAGAGAGCAGAGAGACAGGGGGGCCTCATACCACCAGGAAAGCAGTGCCAGGAGCAGAACGTGTCCTTCGGACCCAGGGTCCCCACACAGAGAAGCTCCTAGTCCGGGAGAACAATGAGGAGAAGGCTGACAGAGAGAGAAAGCCTTCCCCTGGAGCTGACACCCTGAATTTGGACTTTTAGCCTACTTTACTGTAAGGAAATATACTTCTCTTTGTTAAAGCCATCCACTTGTGGTATTTCTGTTATGGCAGCACTAGATGACTAAGACACTTACTTAAAAGAAATTAGGCACTGGATTTTTTATAAATACATTATAAAATCTGTTATTTGTATTCCAATTTGTTTCATATTCATACAGAGCTTTAGCTTTAGGTACTGTTGTTGTTGTTGTTAGCTCTGTCAAGTTGGCCCCCAACTCATGATAACCCCACATGTTACAGAGCAAAACTGCTCCATACGGTTTTCTTAGCTGTAATCTTTATGGAAGCAGTTCGCTAAGCCTTTCTTCCATGGGGCTGCTAGATATTATTAGGATAAGGTATAGTTAGACATGGTTAGAACATAAAGAAGATGATTGGAACCTTGGAATTACCCAACCCCTTTACTTTATAAACAAGAATACTGCCATGTGGAAAGAGAAATAATTTCTGTAAGTCTCACAGCTGAGTAACGGAAGAGATGGGAGGATAATTCTGTTCTTTGTACTTCTTCTGACGGCCTCAGTGCATAAAACACACGTTCAGAAATCAATAACTGAACCCTCACTCTAGTCAGGTACTGTGCAGGCCACAGGGGCCCCAAATGAGAGGTCATGCTTTCTGCCACCTCACAGCTCACAATCCAAGGAGACAGACATGTAAACCACCAGTTACACTGTCATCCAATAACTCCTTTAAAGAAGCTAAGGGCCAGGCAAAGTGAGATCCCAGGAGAAAGTCACCAAGTCTGCCTCAGGGTTCAGGGAGGGCTCTGCAGGGAAAGTCATACTCATCCTGAGATGTGGAGAAGGAACAGCAATTTGCAGGCAGAAGGAGAGAGGGTGAAGCTGGGGCATTCCAGGGAGAGGGAACAGCGTGTAAGAGGTCCAGAGGCATGAGGGGGCTTCATGTGTTTGGAAATCTATGAATAGTTCTGCATTGTTGGAGGCAAGGCTGTAACAACTGGTGGAAATAAAGCCAGAGGAATCAGTAGTGAAAAGAAGAAAGGAGAGCAAGAGTGAAGCTTGCATGATTAAAGGGTGTGATACTTATTATAAGGCAGGAGAGGCCTCTTATAGGCTGAAGGAAAAGAGCTAATGAAGAAGGAGAGGTGGAAGGTGTAAGAAGGAGGAGAAATAACTGATAGAGCTAGGTACAAAAGGGGACTGGAGGGATTAAGAGTACCTAGTTTCACCACTAGGAATACCATGAACCTAAAATTTGTTAGAGTTTTGGCCAGGCCAGGGCTAAGCAGAAGTTAACTTTAGAACTGTCCATAAAAGATGGCCTACTGAAAGCATCACAGAGGGATGCTTCTCCTCTGAGAAGGGGAGATGGCAGAGAGTGGGAGAGAGGCAGGGATGAGTATGGAGATAGATAAATGAATAGCCTTTCTTTACTCTATAAAAGAGGAAGTTGAGAGTGATGTGGAGTTGATTGGGGGCTTGAGGGCAGTGTTGAGGTTTTAGACTAGCCACTGGGAGTAGATGCTGACCAGAGACACATGAAGGGAATTTCAAGCTTCACTGAAGGCAGAGTGCCAACTGGATACCATAAATCCATAGTTATTCAATTCATAGATTTGTGTGGTTTTCGTTAGCAGCACTCAACATCCTGGATATAAGAACAGAGGAAATATGTGATTGAGTTAGTTGACCCAGAGCAGAGGGGTTGGGAGTTGTAGATGCTAATTAAGAGAATAATTATAGCCACCAGTCATGACATGAAGACCTTAATGGAAGAAAACAGATCCGGGGCCAATAGTCTTGGAGAAAAGTGAAGATTTAAGGAGATATAAATCACTAGCAATATTGGGAGAGAATGCATGTAATATCTAGAAGGACAAATTATAGACCGTTTTCAATACTTAAGACTTCAAATAAAGGTGAAAACATAGTCTTTTTTAAAATGCCAACACATAGAATGTGGGAAATAGAATAATTTTCTGTGGCTTATCAGCACCCTTGTCTTTTATTTTGTTAGATCGCCTACAAAAAAGGTCATGCTGAACAGCAAACTCAATTCACATCCCTGCCAGATCCTCCAGATATACAATTTGCCAAGAAAGTGGCCGATCAAGTGAGCAAGGTAGGTAAAAAGCACTGGGATAGTGTCTCTTGAAAACTTTCTTAATAATCTCAACTAGCAGAGAAAGTAACTAAAGATGAACCTTAAGACACAACATAAAAACACTAAGTGTTTTTGCATCTGACCCTCAAATCTACAGCCAAAGCAGTACATTCATTACCATAAAAAAAGGACAAAAACAGAAAACAAACCTGTTGCTGTTGAGTCGGTTCAGACTCATAGTGACCCTATAGGACAGAGTAGAACTGCCCCACAGGGTTTCCAAGGAGCAGCTGGTGGATTCAAACTTCCGACATTTTGGCTAGCAGCCGAATGCTTAACCACAGTGCCACCAGGGCTCCTACATTACCATAGAACTGTAGTAATAAATTTCAGCCAGCTTGATGACTCCGTGGCTGATAAATGTAAAAGCCACCTTTTGAAAATGGAACCCATGTTCTAATGTCACTTGACATTTTTTATTTGTTGGAGTAAAACTAACTGAGTAACCAAGTAACCACACATGTCCACAGAGGAGCTGATTTTGTTTTAACTCGGTGCGAAGCACCCGTATAGTTTTATGATCTCAGTCAGATTTGGAAAAATAAGAATGCACGAGTGGGTCTCAAACATAGCTTAGTTGACAGCAGTGGGCAGTGTACCTCATAACTTCGAAGGCCTGGCAGACAACTTAGTCTGCCTATTTTTAGGCTGGTAAACCAGCCCTGAGGCATGCAGCCCTGACAGGGAATGTGAAGAGACAGATGTTCAGCTGATGAATAGGCCAGGCTAAATTCCTGTTTTAAATTGGTCTAAATCAGGCCACTTTCTCCTGGGATACTGCTGGTTTTAAGTGCTTTCTTTGCTCTCTGTAGAGTTGAATCTCATTTTGGTTGAATTTTGATGGAATCTCAAGATTTCAGTCTAGTTTAAGCATTTTTTTTTTTTTTTTTTTTTTGGCGAAGTTTCTGTAGTAAAGGAGAAAGAAGAAAAGTTATGGATGATGAAGTGTATTAAGTAATTTTTAAATATATCTGATATTCATGATTACCCTAACTGTATATCCAGGGGCTATTTGGATAAAGAATCTAGTAAGTGTATTACATTGAGTTACTAGGAATGCCAAACCAAAAACCAAACTCATTTCTGTCAAGTCGATTCTGACTCATGGTGACCCCATGTGTTACAGAGCAGAACTGAGCTCCATAGGATTTTCTTAACTGTAATCTTTATGGAAGCAGATTACCAGGGCTTTCTTCTGTGGTGTCACTGGGTGGGTTTAAACTGCCAACCTTTCTGTTAGCAGCCGAGCACAAACAATTTGCACCTCCCAGGGAGCTAATAGGAATGCTGGAAATCTGAAATTTGTTAGAATTTTGCCCAGGGCTAAGCAGAAGTTAACTTTAGAACTGTCCATAAAAGATGGCCAGTTGAAACTGTTGATATTGTAAGAGTAAAGTATTGTAAGAAATAAGATTAGGGAGCAAAGATGATTTATCTTTTTGAAAGAAAAAAGAGAAACTCTTAAGGGGGGTCATTTAGAAGCAAATAGGGATCTATTTTTTTAATTTTTATTTAAAGCGTATATTTAAAGATATCTTACTTTTACTTTATTTGAATATGCACTGTAAGTACAATCATGTGTCACTTAACGACCATGACAGGTTCTGTGAAATAGGAAGTTATGTAAGCTGGACATTGTGCGAACACCATATTACAAGTGTCGCCCCCGCCCCCCGCCGCCCCCCGCCCCCGCATCTGAAAGTAGAAGGTTCCTGTGAAACTTTCGTAAGCCGAAATGGCGTGAAGCGAAGAAGCAATTGCCATAAATTTATTTATATGGGAAAAGTTTTTGAGCGTTCCGAGCCCCCAAAAATACTGTAGCGCGTATCTTACTAAGGGATGCACAAAATAAATCAAGATAAAGCACAGGTGCTCATACACACAGCTCAAACTATGGCAACTTGCCGCTGAGATGCTGAGTGTAGTTCCTGGGGAAGGAGATTGGCGACACCACTCTCGCTGCTCCAGGTGTGCGCTGCCTCTTTAACAGCTCGCTGCAAAACAAATGCTGAATGCTATTTCCACTTTTTGCCTTTTTTCGTAAAAGCAAAAATCCTCTTTGGATTTCTTTTGGTTAGTGAAAACAGGTACTAACGTAGGGCTTTCGTAAAAGTCAAGTGGTGTAAAGTGAACTTTCAAAAAGTGGTGGATACCTGGATACACAGGCAGTCCTTGGGTTATGAATGACCAATTTATAAGCAATCTGTAGTTACGAATCAACCCCCTAAAGCCTATTATATTAAAAACTTGAGATATATACAATGGTTCGTAATAGCAAATGGGTGCTACTTTGTGATGTACATCAAAATATTATCATCATTATTATTACTGTATTATTATGTTAAAGATGTTTTAGTGTATCTGGAATTGTTTCTTTAATATACAGAGAGGTACACTACATACAATATACTAAGTCGAACATTTGACTAACTGACATTTAGATACAAACCGTACCCAACTGTTCTGACATAAGAAAAATTTCGACTTAAAGACAGACTTAGGAATGGATCTCGTCTGTAACCTGGGGGCTGCCTATATAACCTTATGGGACCACGGATGTATATGTGGTCGGACGTTGCCCAGATGGACATTATGCGACACATGACTGTACTTGAAAGTAATAAAAACAGCACTTTCAAACTCCTCTATAATCAGTCTCACCACTAATTTAAGCTTGCCAGTAAGTTTAGATCTATACTCTTTAATACAGTAGCAACTAGCCACATGTGGCTATCGAGTACTTGAAATGCAACTAGTACAAACTGAGATATCTGTATGTGTGAAATATACACTGGATTTTGAACACTTACTATGACAAAGAGAATGTCAAACAGTTTATTAGTTATTTTTATATTGATTACTTGTTGAAATGGTAATATTTTGGACCTCTTGATGTAAGTAAAATATATTATTAAAATTAATTTTCTACCTGTTTCTTTTTACTTTTTAAGATATGGCTACTAGAAAATTTTAAATTACACGTGTCTCACATTTTATGTCTATTGAACTGTGCCACTCTAGTTGGATAAAGTGACAGTGTTAGGTACTTAGAAAGCATTGCCAGGGTGGGTTTGTCCTTGTGGAACAATGATATGAGCCAAGGGAGGATGGCTCTAAATGAAGGTTACCAGATTTATGACGTTAGCAATCCCAGTCTTACCCAGTGTGATGGTTAAGGTTGTGCGTCAGTTTGGCTGGGTCATGATTCTCAGTGGTTTGGCAGTTATGTAATGACATAATTTGGCAGTTACGTAATGATGCAGTCATCCTCCATGATGTGATCTGATGTGATCAACCTATCAGTTATAAGGGGAGTTTCCTCAGTGGTGTGGCCTGTATCCAAAATGTATATTGACATTCTGGCAAAAGTCACTTGCTTGCTCTGGATCCTGCATCTGGCTCGTCATCATCTGACTTCTCGTTCTTGGGACTTGAGCCAACTGCCTGCTGTATTGCCTGCCAGTCTTGAGATTCATCAGCCTCTGCAGCCTGTGAGCCAGTGGCCTGCTGTCTTACCTGATAATCTTGGAATTCACCAGTCTCCGCAGACATTGAGCCAGTGACCTGCTGTCTTACCTACTGATGTTGGGTTCCTCAGCCTCTGCAGCTATGTGAGTCAGGAAAAGCCTCCTCCTGATGCCTGACCCATGGGCTTGAGACTTGCCAGCCTCTACAACTGCGTGAGCCATTTCCTTGAGAAAAATCTCTCTCTATATATATATACACACTCTTCACTGGTTTTGCTTCTCTAGAGAAGCCAGCCTAAGACATTTGGTACTGAAAGTGGTTTTAGAGAAACAAAATCCTAAGTATAAGTTTCTAAGTTGGTTCTCAAGTCTGACTAGTCAGTTGTAAAGATGCTGATGACTCTGCATCTAGTAGTAAAGAGGGTGCTGCTAATCCCTGGCATGAGGTGGCAATATTAATACACTAAATATCACCACCAGTAGATCAAGTATTGGTGAAAAGTGCCAGGCTCTGGGTGATCACATGTTTGATATTTTTCTACAATTTTGTCAAAAAGAGAAGTATAGGGAAGCTGATTCGTTGGTCTTACTTTCGCTAGACAAAGTGGTGAAAGAAAGAGATGATCTCAGGACTTCAGAGTCACAGCTTAAGCGCCGCCTGAAAGCCCTGAAAGTTGCCACTTTTGCCCTGTAAGAAAGTCTCATTTCTTATAGCAACAGAGCTGATATTGCTGAAAACAAAACTAAGAGTCTTATTGTAAGAGTGGCTGAATTATAATGCCAACTGAGTTCCCAATCTCAAATTGTGTCTGACGTTAAAGTGAGGACATTGATTGGGAAGAAATGGAATCCCGAAACTTGGGATGGGGACAGGTGAGCAAATAATCAGGAAGCTGGGGACACGGAGCCTGTAAATTCTGTTGAATCACTCCTGCCAACAGAACCAGCCATCTTACTCTCATCTGAAGAGATTACTCCATCTTTGTCTGCTAAGACGCCCTCCTCAGTATAACCAATATCCCTTCTACCCCTATCTGATGAGAATAACCCAGCTGTGCCTGAAGAGTCTTTGTCTGAGATTTGCCTGCAGCAGCACCTGGGGCATTGCCTGAGGTATATGCCTTACAAGACATTGCTGAATGTTCCCAGGACCCACACCCTAGATCTATAACTAGTCTTAAGTATCAGCGAGCCCCAAAAGGTGAAATACAAACTGTAACCCAGGAGGAAATATGCTACACTCCGAAAGAACTGCTTGACTTTTCTAACATGTAAAAACAGAAACCTGGGGAATATGTATTGGAATGGCTATTAAGGGTGCGGGATAATGGTGCAAGGAACATAAAAGTTGGATCAGTTGGAGTTTACTGATATGGGATTACTAAGCACAGATTCTTCATTCAATGTTTCAGCTCAAGAGTTTAGGAAAGGATCTAAGTTTATTTGGTTGGTTCACTGAAGCATGGATTACATGGTGGCCCACATTAAATC